TGTATGACACCTTGGAAATTCACTTTTTTCATGAGAAAGAGAAGGTATAAAAATAAAGAAAAATAGAAAAAAGCAATCAAACTTCCAGTCCTACTGTTTTGTTAGTAATGTGCAAAGGGTGTCCAAGTGACCACCCACCAGGCACCACAAAGGAGAGGCAAATCTCACCAAAATTAAAATACATAAAGCAAGGCAGTGAAACAATAAGAGGAGTTGGTAATTGAGAACAGTTCCAATGGGCTGTAAGAAAGAGAAGCTAAGTGTTTTTTTTTGTTTGTTTGTTTTTTAATTTTACCAAAATGAACATACATTACAAAGACAATATAAAACTTGACAAAAAACGGACACATTAACACAATAATTACTCTCCAAGATATTAAGTTATTATTGCTTTTCTTCTTGACCTTCTCCATGTCTCATCCATTTTACATTCCATATTGAATATATTGTCTTTTTTCCCCCTTTTTTTCTCTCTTCAATTCACAGTATCTAATTTTGTTATTCATTTGTAGCAGTGTTCATTACTATAATTTATTATATTAAAAAAGTGTAAGATACATTGGAGAAGGCAAGGAGAATTGCTTATCTATGCAAAATACCATGTGCTTATTTAGCATAACAGACTTAAAGGACCACTCTAGGCACCCAGACCACTTCAGCTTAATGAAGTGGTCTGGGTGCCAGGTCCTTCTAGGGTTAACCCATTTTTTCATAAACATAGCAGTTTCAGAGAAACTGCTATGTTTATCAATGGGTTAAGCCTTCCCCCTAATCCTCTGGTGGCTGTCTCATTGACAGCCACTAGAGGCGCTTGCGTGCTTCTCACTGTGATTTTCACAGTGAGAGCACGCAAGCGTCCATAGGAAAGCATTGTATATGTATGTTTTCCTGGCACTATAGTGGTCCTTTAAGCATCCCCAATGCTTTAAAAGAAAACCCTTGCATTGCTATCTACTGTCTGTAACAAACAAAAGACTAACACACATTGTGCCGAGAAATCCCAATGAAAAAAAAAAATAAGAATTTAGGGAGAGTAAATGATATCAATAAGGTATAAAGTCTCTCCGTTTTCCTTACTTTTAAACCTAATTTTCCCCGTCATTCTATTCTTAAGTTAAGAGGGTTACACTATCACAACTTGTCTATCACTATTTTGCATTAATTTAATTCTTAGTATTTGTCTCCCACAGAGGGGTATCTGAAGATTTCCAGTGGCTGATCTATTTAGCTTAAATGGGTATAACAATATGGATCTTCTTATTTCGTTATCCCCTCTCTCTACCTCTCTTCCCTCATTCCCATCTCCCCTCTTCCCTCTCTCCTCTTTAAATATATAGTAATAAGGATACGTAGAGGAACTTATTATCTCACACAAATTTTAACAAGGGCCATTGGGCGAGCATATAATGCCATAACGGTGTCCATTACCTATCCTTTAAACCCGAAAGCTTTCATAGATGCTTTCAGAAAATCCCATTTGTCCCTGTCGAAGGCCTTCTCTGCGTCCAACGACAGGGCCAGAAAAGGGACCCTCAAATCATGTACGCTATCTAAAATATTAACTATTGATCTCACACTATTACTAGAGTATCTACCTTTAATAAACCTGACCTGGTCTTGGTGGATCAGGTACAGTACAACGTTTTGCATCCTATTTGCTAAGATGCTTGCATATATGTTTATATCGGAGTTTAGCAATGAGATGGGTAGATAACTCCTTACATGATCTGTTGATTTATCTGGCTTATGTATAGGGATATTTGCGAATAACATCTCTGCAGGTATGATCTTTTCCTCAATGATATTATTAAACAGATTTTTAAGATGAACCACCAAATCATCCTTGAACTGTTTTTTAGAATAAATTGGGGTAGCCATCCAGGCCTGGGGTTTTTATTTTTATATTTAACATATCTATTGCTTTCTTGATCTCTATTTCGGAGAAGGGTTTATTGATAAAATTTACTTGTTCTATCGATAGTTGTTTCATCTTTTTATTTTTAAAGTATGCTTCTGGATTGTCTAATTGATTAGGCAAATTATGTAACTCTTGGTAAAAAGCTTTGCCGATTTTTTCTGAGGTTAATTGTAGCCCTTCTTCAGTAATAATTTTCTGTACCACCATGACCATTCTGTTACCCTTAACTTTATTTGTAAGCATTTTATTTGCCCAATTGCCTCTTTAATACCATTTTATTACATTCAAGTTTTTAAGAGGTTTGCTGCAGTAATAATTCATTAATTCTATCCTTTATTTTTGCTATTTTCTCACTTATTTGTATGGAGGGGTTATTCTTATTCGATCTTGTTATATCAGACAAATGTATAAATATGTTAAGGAGAAGCCTGTATTCTTATTTCTGATTGAAACCATTTTAATAATATGCCCCCTTAAGATTGCCTTATAGGTACACCATATGACTACATCTGATGACCATTGTTTTTATTATTCTTTTATATTCTCTTTCTTGAGATTTTTTTTTTTTTAGTAGGAGATCATTTAACCTCCAACTATTCCTCACTTTGTTATCTGGGCTTATAATAAGGTCCAATGTAACCGGGTTATGGTCAGACCATGCAACCTCCTGAATCAGAACCTCCTTTATCCTTTATGATATCTCTACTGTACCCAGAAATAAGTCTAACCTGGAATATGTATAATGTACTTTAGAAAAGCAAGTGAAATCCTTTTCTTGGGGATGATAAATCCTCCATAAGTCTAGTAAGCCATATTTATGTACTAAAAGTTTGAATTCATTTGACATTTTTTTGCTTTTTTTTTTATCTTGAAGGACCCCTCCCAATTAATTTCTATCCAGCATTCCATCAATAATGCAATTGAAGTCTCCCCCTATGAGGACCTTTCCTTTTTTGATGTAATCTATTTTTTAATACCCTTTGTATAAAACAAATAGGATTAAAATTAGGTGCATATAGGTTAGCTATCGTAAACTCCTCATTTTGTGTTTTACATATTACTATATATTCCATTTTTGTCTACGTCCTGGTATGTGATTTGTATATCTAAATCATTAGGTACAAGAGGGACAACCCCATAAATCTTTTTATCTTCTAATGAAGAGCATATTTTGATATTAAAGCTATTTGGAATAAAGCGTTTTATGTCTTTCTTTATCCAGTGGGTCTCTTGCAGCAATATAATTTTTGTTCCTTCTCTTTTAATATAGTTGATACCTGTAACGGATCGCCTGGCACCCCGACTGGGTACCTCCGTTGAAGGATGCTCCTAGCGCTTCCTGAGGACTCCAAGCACTGCAGCAGACACCACAATCACCGAACCAGAGAAGCGTATACCTTCTCTCAAGCATAAGAATGCTGTAGACAGTTGAATAGGAACCATACGAATAGGTTTACTCTCCTAGCAGTCAAACTGGAACAGCATACAATAAATCCTTCCCCCAATAATGAGACGACACTTCACTTTGAGGGTTAAGCAGGAACTCTAGTGCTGGCACACCCAGCCTGGTTTTTATTACAATCCACAAAACATAGTACAGCCCACAGGGCGTTACAAAACAACCAATCACATCACAGTTACATCCCACATATTCCCTCCCCTTATCCTGAGAGGAAACTCAATTATACATACAGTTAAAACATACTTTCTACCCAACTTTCATAACTCCAAAACCATACATCACATTCACATAAAATTACATATTCACAATCAATCCATTCAGGGGAACAACATATTCAAAAATGGCACAAATCAGACAAGGGGTTCAAAAGTTAGTAAAAAGTCCTTTGTGACTAAATGAAGCATGGCTTTCTGGCCCAAACCAGTTTCAGAGTCTTCTATCCTGGAGATAAGTAATTCAATTATCTCCCAGGACAGACACAAGACTCCATTAAGCACATGGTTGCAAAAGACACAAAACACTTTAAAATACATAAAGTCACCTTACACATAACACACAGACATTTCACATATCCCCAGATAGCTGGGATCTG